TACATGGAATTACGCAAATAAAGAGATTTGATTTGATTTGACATTTCTTTGACATCCTTAGAGACTATGTCGCGGGTAAAATATAATCTAATCTAAATCTAGCGTATGTTGTTGTTTTTATTCATCTTTTTATATTTCACAAATAGAACCTATATTATCAAACTATTGTAACTTACTGTAATATTTTAATTTAATTTATTATTGTACTCTAAACTTCTGATTGTAATCTGAAATGTTAATGTGCGAACTGAACAATAAATTTTAATTGTTAGCTATTTCGCTAATTACATGTCCGTTTTGATATAAAATTCCGCAGCTTTTTGCTTTCTTGGGAACCGACCGTAATTATATGTCTGACCCAAAATTACAATACCAATTTAAAATTTAATGTCAGACTACTGTTCTTCAAACCTCATAATGATTGATTCATCATTTTTTTGGTCCGTGACTCAGTGGTGCGAAGAGAACGGCCACTTCATTTCGTCAAAAAACCTTTTTTGAAACTTGGAATGTTCTGACAATGCATTTTTGTACCTCATCTGGTTATCAGATTTTGACACGTCCCTGTAAGCACGAACTTTCATGCTTTTATGGAAGTGATAAGGAACTCATAAAACTAGTATAAAATTTTATGACCGTCTTCTTTTGACTATGACCGTAGCCGAGATTCGAATTCGCACCTACTGATTGCTGAATCATCAGCCTTAACTGATTTTATAGCTCATTGTCGATTTCTTTCGGCAAAAACGTTTTTTTTTCTTTGTATCCGTAATTGTGCTCGTGGTTTATTTGTCATTGAGTTTTTATTCGACCGCGGGAAGTTGTGATGAAACGGTTTTTGCGTTCGCTTGCGGTTTTAATCTGTCACTTCTCTAGTCATCTTTTAATGTGTTAATAAATTATCGTGGGCGTCCGTCATCAGACCCATCTCACATTTTAATGTTTTTTAAATTATTTCGTTGGTTTACCTACAAAAATAATACATTTTGAGTTGCGTCACTTTTGTAAGAAGCTTCTGAAAATAAATAAAATTAAAAAAAAATATAATTGTGAAGTTTTAGCATATTTACCAGGTGTTTCATTTAGCCTACCTACCTACAGTTACCTACCTTGAAATTATCACTAATGCTCAACACTTACATATTTGTAGAGTAACTCATAGTTACAAACTTAATCGTGTTTTTTTTTATAATAAATAAAAAAGTGTAGCATTGTTGCTCTTCCTGAATTTTACATTACATTTATACGTACTATGTAGTACATAAATCAATAATGTATTTATTGCCTTCGAATCATCATTAGTTACAGGAAGTACATAGTATAGTCGACAGCAATTTAGACCATACATTTTCGCGGATTTAAAGTACCTTTTGCATCTACAAATATGCCAGTGTTATACCATAATGTGCTCTCGTAAGTACATTACCATACCAACTAAAGCAATTCGAACCAAATCTCGTAACTTATTCTATTTTGGAAAGCGTCTCTCGCGTCTTCAATGTCAGTCGAGATGAGAGTTAGCGTCCATTTTGTGTCGGCCATTTTTTAAAGTCAGCCATTTTTAAGACGCAGGCATCACTTGTTTTGTAAGCCTGGAGAAATACGAGCGTACGTTATAATGGAAATATAATCAGAAAGATTACTAAAAGAAATAATCGTATTATAGGTATCTTAGTATGTGTGTGTATATGCTGGATAATAAATACAGTCATCATGTTGTAGGTTCTTAAAGCAAGAAATCACAATCTAGGGCGAATTATATATCCATATTGTTTTTATTTTGTTATAACGGGTTATGAAATTTTTATTCTTCGTTTGTATCGTTCATTTTGAATTGTTAAAATTGGATTCTATCCTTTAAAAAAAATGGAAATGTCGCTCATATAGAAGCAAGTCTGTAAGTTAACGTGTACCTTTTGCAAATTCGCACACCCAGATAAAGTCTTAAAGAGTAGCACAACTTAAAATAATTCCAAAATAGAGTTATACATAGTGATAATCAGAATCTGCGTCAAAAACTAAGTACATGAACTACGCTGTCCTTGCAAAAAGAAATACATAATATGAGTTGTACAGGTTGTACTCCTCTTAATCCATGTGTGCCGAGCCAATGTGTGTAAAGACTAACCCCCTTACTAATAAAAATTTACACAGTTGTTGATCACTGTTTTAAAATGACATTTCCATACTAAACGTCACTTTAAAACACTGTTCAACGAGCGTGTCGTTTTATTAGTAAGGGAGTAAGTGTGTACTGTACCCACTTGTATTAGGGGCCGTCCATAAATTACGTCATCGATTTTTTGCGATTTTTGAACCCCCCCTTTACCGTCATCCGCATACCAAACCCCCCCCCCCTAATTTTGAATGACGTAATATTTGGGCGGCCCCTTATGGCATACAGTAATGCGAATGTACCTTTATTAGTTACGCTTTCTCGTCTGCCGAAATCGTACAATAGTGATGCGATTAGCGTAGTTACATATCGATATAATTTGCTCGTTTGGAATGAACTCCCAATTTGTAGTGATTCAGTAGTTATTTTATACATTTTCACTATTGCAAAATGTGCCTGATGACGGCAATTCTCGTAGAGTTTTGTAATAAATTGTCAACGAGTAATAAAAATGATTGAAATTGCTGTAGGTATTTATTGTACTCGCTCTACAAAAACATTTAGTTAGAATAGAACAAGTATTTTAAAAACACTGTTTTTGTGTTTACCACTTCACATATACCTAGTACAGGCAAAGCTCAAAAATACTAAAATAAAATGCTGTTTCCACGTAGCTACAACTTTATTACATACCTTGTTGTTTTATCGTATGCTAAAACATTTTCTAGTCTAGAGTATTTCACTGGAAACCAGTTGAAATATCATATGACCGGTAACTGTAATCGAGTTGTGCACCAAACGGTGCTCTGCAAACATTCCCAATATTCGTTTCGGAATATAAAACTGTATACTGTTCTTCAGTTATCAAAGCTATCGGTATTGCGACCGACGACCTGTAGAAAGATTTCAACAATAATAAACGTTGATTTCAACGTTTCGAATGTAATCTGTGCATTTGATTTAAGAAAGTTTTTTGTGTTTGGAATTCGATTTTCAAAAATTCAAATCACGTCCCTAGTGAAGTGGGTCACGGAACAAAGACTGGCCACTAACTTAACGCGGTGTCCAGAGTAAAGATACTATATCGACCTGGCGAAGAACAATAGCCTTTATCTCATTCAAGAGAACTTGGAATTTGATAGCCCGTGAGAAGCGCAAATACACGAATCGAAGACGATACTGGCTGTTTATTGTTTACGACAAAACTACCGATTCGAAAATGGAACGACATGATATTCCGTGTTCCAATTTCAAATTAAATTCTTTTGACGTCGCGCGCGAATATTAGATTCTTTTTTATTGGTATTGGACGTAAACGCTTTTAGCCAGGCAGTGCTTTTTAATAAGTGATTTATTCGATGAACTGAACCTTCTTTGTAAACACAAAAAAGTTTAACCTAGAATTGAGTCTTGTTAAGATTTTAATTTCGTTGAATTGCGGTGATAAATTGAGTAATTTGTAAGGAAACGTCTTTTTAAGTAACAAATGGTTAGTTTTACGGCAATTATGTAATGAAACGGATTGATCTGTCCCAATTGTTTTCATTTTGGGACGTAAAAGCGTTGGGCCGTGCCGAATTCTTCGAAACGTTCATTGTTTAGATAAGAATAATAAAGGCACTTGGAATGTTTACTGCGGCCATTGTCAGGCTTCAAATGGCAGTCTCTAAATATTAAATACTGAGAAATAAGGTCCACTTAGGCAATGCGAGCGATTTGTTTAACAGGCGTGCATCCGGGGGTTTTATTTCGTGGGAGGTATTTTTGTAGGATGTTATGAATTAGATCAGTAATTTAATTAGTCCCAAAAATTGCTTTGATTATAGTTTTAGTAATGTTTGTTAAATTGTAATCTGCTATTAATTAAAAACACAGTTAGATTCTTATTGAAAACTTTTATTTAGTTAAGTCGCCAATTCGCCATGGACAAAAAGAAAAATACAATTACCTAGAAGGAACTTAGTTAAATGTTTCAAACTTTAAACAACTACTAATCGTGTTTAACAAAGTCCGTAACTAAAATCATGAAACTATGTATTATTTGGATCTAAATTATACAACATTTTGTAATAACCTATTATGTCAAATAAAAAACTTAATTTGCAGACAATTTTGTATAACAAAAACGTTTTCCCACGACCAGCAAATTAAACTAATGATTATGAATCGCTAGATAATCTGAATTAACACTTTTTGTAAACAAAACAAAAACAAACGCTACCGATGTTGCCTTGTTTTTGTTATAATTTAAATGATTGTCGTTTCATTATCGTGGCTTAAATTAGGCCTTACTTATTATTTAGAGATTATTATCATATGTATTTTTATACGGTTGTTGTTAGTCAAAATACAGATGTACCTATTATCTAGGAAGATTACAGGGTACCTACTACAATTTGTGTTTTTTTGATAAGTTTGATAAGACATAGTGTGAATTATTTAAATAATTAATCCTGTATTCTGATAAAAAAAGTTTTAGGCCCGGTTTCCACCAAGGTTCCACTCCGGAGCGGAGAAGTGTTGGGCCTAGGGTTGCCAGGTGTTTGGCTTTTTACGGTTTTGTCCGGCTAAATATTGTCGTGTCCGGCCTGTCCGGCTTTCAGGCTTTTTATTTGGCTGCCGCGCCAGGCGAAAGTCGAGCCACAGAATGATATGAAGCGCACGCATCAGGATGTTGGGCAGCCGAATGACGGATGATGATAGTAGCACTCACTCTGAATTATGACACTAATTGCGGAGACGAGAATTGGAAATAGTGAACTCTTATTAGTTATTTAACACACTTCTCTGTTCTTCGCTTTGCCTTTGGTGGAAACCGGGCTTTAATATATTTTTACATGGATTCTTATTTCTTTTATCTTAACAACCTAATTCCTTGTTCCAGCCGACCCTCTGCCGGGCAAGCACGTGCCGCTGGAAAGTTATGAGAGCGAGCTGGAGCGAGAACACGCGCTCCCCACTTCGGTTCCCAACGCGGACATCCTCAAGACCAACAGCAACCCCACCTACCACAAGCCTAGGTAAGACATTCAACATTCAATTCAACCGCCTCTGTGGTCTAGTGGTAAGACCACCTGCTTCAGACGCAGAGGTCCCGGGTTCGATTCCCAGTAGGAGCAGATTTTTCTGTTCGGTTTGGTTCGTGGTAGGGCTTGTTCTAAGTCCGCCTGGCTAGCTACCACTACCACCATCTTACCTAAGTCTGTCGCCATAACAACAATGTTAACAGCATTGTTGTGTTCCGGCAGTTAGAGGTATAAAGATAGTTCCTCCGTGGTTGAGGATTCCGGGTGAAGCTCGCTTCCACCTTCAGCCTGATCATCACTTACCATCAGGTGAGATACAGGCCAAGAGCTTCCTCGTTGTGGATAAAAAAAAACAAGTTTACATTACCTACATGTGATTAATTTTAAATAACTTGAAAATTGCCCTAGGTAGGAATCGAACCCACGACCTTTCACTTGGCGGTCGACTGCTCTTACCGTCTGAGCTAGCTACATCTTAGCGAGCTTAATCATCATCGTTATTTTCATCATCATCATCAGCAGCATTTCATTTAGTTCCTCTACTGCAGGATTACGAATCTCCAACCCTTCTAATTTACTAGAGGCAAATGGAGGATTTGACCTACACTTTCCACTCTAGCCAGACGGGTTGGACAGGCCTTTTGTTAAAATATTTGTCCCGTAGTCGCTTTTTACGACATTTATTTAATTTAAGAAAAATAGTAGGTATAAAGAAATACTGTGTAATTCACTCCAGTATCATCTTCAGATTATTAACTCATCTTATTGAGTAGAGCAAATGCCGAATTTGGTTCCCACTCGTCGTAATTCAACATATTCGCTGAAATCTAAAAATTAAAACAAAAACATTTAATGGCCAATAAAAACGTAACAACTCATGCGAAAAGTTAGGTCCTAATTATGAGCCCTCGTCGCTGTTCTCAATAATATTATAACAGAACTAGCTTTCCGCCCGCGGCTTCGCCCGCGTGGAATTTTGTCTGTCACAGAAAAACTTTATCGCGCGCGTCCCTGTTTCAAAAACCGGGATAAAAACTATCCTATGTTCTTTCCCGGGACTCAAACTATCTCTATGCCAAATTTCATCAAAATCGGTTGCGAGGTTTAAGCGGGAAAGCGTAACAGACAGACAGACAGACAGACAGACAGACAGACAGACAGACAGAGTTACTTTTGCATTTATAATATTAGTTGGGATTTGATGTCAGATATCGAAATTTACGATCGAAATAACTAAATTGGTTGTAAATTACAAAGTTGAGTTTTACGACGCGAAACCTTTTTTAGATCGCAGGTGAATACCGTCTTTGATAGTTGCTATTTCTGTTAGGGTGCACCTACATTGCGTATATGTTGGCGAACACGACTCTATGTTCGCGTGAATCGATTTGGTACTTACAAACTTATATTGGTGATTCGCGACTCGACAAGAGTCGTTGTAATCAAAACATACATAAGTGCAGTTTATTTTATGAATGTACCTAATACGTAAAGACCTGTACAGACGAGGACTATCTAAGCCACAAGGTACTTTAGATTTTTCGATCACTAAAGCTTCAACCACACCGTTCTACGTCGCCTGCGCGATCTAAGGCCAATGACAGGTCGCGCGACCTATGACAGTTCACGAGACCTGTCATTGGTCTTTGATTGCGCCGTGATCGCGCCGGCGATGGCGATCTGCACGCGTTGAGGTTCGGCCAAACCAACACGATCACACGCGATCAGCCGGCGTGCAGCGATGGCGACCAGACTTAGGGTTCGGACAAACCAACGCGATCACAGCGCGATCAGCCGGCTTGCAGCGATGGCGACCAGACCTAAATGCATTGATCGCCATCGCTGCACGCCGGTTGATCGCGCTGTGATCGCGTTGGTTTGGCCGAACCTTGTGTGGTTCGCTGTTCGCTCGGAGCACTCCAATCTACAGCCACCTTAACAGTTGCTAATTCTAACGTGAGATAAGTTGAGATTTATACGGTTTTTACTGCCGCGGACGAAACTGTGCGGAAGGAATCAACTTTTTATGCGCCGCGTAAAAAACGGTGTTTAAGTTAAAAGCCTCTATCACGGTTTACGATAATGATTACGTTTCGAATGGAAATTACTCCGGTATTCGAGATTTTGCCGAATCACAACCGTGATTTGGGGAATGAATCGCGCACTTAATAGCAGTGGAGTTTTCCAGTAACTTGGCCCACGTTCATATTAAGCAAGTAAAGGTAACAGACAGACAGAGTTACTTTCGCATTTATAATATTACGGAAGTGCGGATGCCAATCAAATTATCGACTTAGTTACAAAACAATTAAATCAAATTCACAGCGACACAAAGTCATTAATAGTTAAGAAGTCAAGTTAATTAATTGACGCGCTCGTTCACAATCGCCGCCATTTTTGAAACTTCTTGAGAGTTCTGAAGTTTTGAGCGGGAACATTTAGCTTTGACGTGACTTGTTGAACTGATTCGTGAACGTAATTTGGATTGAGTGCTTTTGATGTCATTTATACATTTTGGCGCCTAAGCTTGACCGTTTAAGCGATAATTAAAATGGCAAAAAGCGCCATCTATGAGTAAGAGGCCAAAGCTTTGCACGTTTAAAATTACCTAAAAGCGCCATCTATGAGTCAATTATTGAAACAATGATTTATTATTTTTTGTTGGACTCTCACAATGTAGCACTATAATTAAGCCCAAAAAAAAATTAGTTTATTCTAATATCGCTCTAAACTAATTAATCATTATTTTGACATAATTATCGTGGCTATAAAAAGCCTACAAAAACCCTTTGTAACCTGGATAGTGTTTGCTTAACCTTTATAAAGTCAGACGCTTTTATATTAGGACTTTTTGTAGATTATTTCTTCAGTCTTTTTTGCTAAAAGGCGTGTGATACATTTGTTATGTACAGTGCAATTAAGTTAATAAATTAACGAAAAACTTTACTATTTTTATTTATTACATAAATAAAATTTAGATAGCTAAAATTTTCAGCAGTATTATTTTTCCATTACTTTTGTTTACTTGAATAAATTATATTTTTTCATTACCAAATCAAATAGTGAAGTTCTCCATTCATTTGGATTCGTAGAAAATTTTTCGATCAATCATTCTGGTGAACGCGAATTTCGTCAAAGCCAAACTTCGAATATTCCATATTATGGAACTTGTTCATTATGTGATCCGAGCCTTATTTGTCTAAAAAGTAGGGCTGGCCCATCGCGGGATTCCCAGAATAAATCCCGGGATTATTTTTTGGATGCTGGCTTTAAAAATGTAATGTAAAAAGCTACATAAATCCGTTATTTGTTTTTATTTTTTAGTACAACATACATATCTCCTTGTTCAAATCCAAAGTCACTATGTATCCATGTTTATTATAAAATAGCACCTATTACATACTACAACTAAATAAGTGCTTTTGAATGACAGTGTTAAGCTGGACGTGCTGCCGATCATATTTCAGAGCTGGAATCACTAAAACAGTTGTCGATTATTATTTGGTTAACAAAAAATTAAACAAAACGTACATTCCCAACAAACAAAACGCAATTGGATAACGACGAACAAAACTATATTTGCCGAAAATGTTTGTTTAACACAATGCAAATTAACACCACTTATTTGTTTCAACGCGAAAGCTTTATTTATTATTTACACATCGAAATTATTTATTAAAATACAAAGAGATCGCAATAGCTGAACGTGAAATTCAGTTCGCATTTAATTTTAAAGTAGATTCGTAGAAAAGGCAAATATTAATTAATACGTACGGTTGATTTCGCCAGATTTGCAATTGCATGGTTAATTAGTTAAATTACTAGCCAATTACATTTTATTAGTAATTATATTATCAGCTGATGGTAAATGGATGCTGTTTTATTTTTTGTTTTTTATTTTTAATGTCTGTTTTTACTATTACACTCCTTTTATAATACCAGTGCCGTAAAGCCCGTATCTCGTCATAAGGCGTGATGTTTGGAGCAATAACTTTTTAAGTACATTTGCATGTTTTAGTGATATTTTTATGTCATGTTTACTCATTCATTAAATACTGTGCAACATTGCATGACGATGCTAGATAAGGAGCAACATAATACTCATAGTATCGAGTGTTTTAACAATGCTCCTTTTTATCATGTTCGAGTAAAATACTTAATGAGTCATTGATACGTAGGTATAATAAATAAATACCACTTAAGTAAGTAACTGAGACTGGATATTGGAATTATGAAGCTTTTCTCGCTCATTCATTTATAAGTAGTTGTTTATTTATAAATTTTCAGATGCGAACTATCCTAGTTTCATTTTTTATTCAAAATGACATCAAAAAAAGCATCAGATGCCACAAACCGTTGTATCTAAACTTACCATGGTCATACATTAGCCAAATAATGTAAATGTCATCCATATCCTTATTGTCTTATTATCCCGCATAAATCCCGCACTTCCCGGGACCGCGGGCTCCCCTAGCGGCCCTAAAAGCAAAGTTCCCAAAGCAATCGAGAACAGGACTTGGAAGCATACCAAGTTTCTTGCCTCCATTGAAAAACTCTCGTGTTTTTGTTTCGGCTGTTATTAGAGTCCTGACAATACGCGCAGACATCTAGAAAATGACTTCTTTTGTTCAAATATATTTTATCATAATGTTTGGTTTTGCCCGCGGCTTTGCTCGTTTTAATTTTTGGTCTTTCACAGAAGGACTTGCGTATTTCCTTTCAGAACGTACTAAATACATGAGTACTAAGTATAATATGTTTCCCTGGCTCTTATACTATCTCTAGGTATGTCAATTTCAATTCAATCGGTTCAGTGGTAGGTATATGCGTGAAAGAGTAACAAAAATCCATCCATCCATCTTCAAAATTATCTCAAGGACCAATTCAATCGGTTGTGTGGTTTATACGTGACAGAGTAACAAGTATCTTCCATCCCCACAAACCTTATAGAAAGTAGGATTAATTTTGACCCCGGCTTCGCCTGAGTCAATTTC